GTGCCATACTCAGCCCCGAAGTACTGCTCCTCGTCGAGTGCCTCGGCATGCAAAAAGGAGCGGGCCTTGGGACAGTCGGGTGGTGTAGACATGAGAACCCTATCCAGGCGGTCCGTGTCCAGTTCGTAGCTCGCACTGGGACCCAATGTCCAGGAAGCCACATCCTCGAATGCCAGGGCATACCAGTGCACTAGGCTCGCCATGGCTGCCCGGACTTGTGCCACTCGTTCTGGACTCGGGTAGACCATGTGGCCTCGTCCAAGCAGGTAACCGTTGGCTCCTGGTTTATCAAACCAGGCAGCCTCGGTGTTCACTGCGCGCCGTGCCAACATCCTCTCAAGCTGCTGGTTGGTCGTGTGTTTGGCCCCGGTCGCGGGGTCTGCCTCGGTGAGTGACTCGGAGGCCCACATCAGGCACAGCCACTGCGCGTAGTGCTTCTCGGGTGCCTGTGAAACCATCCTTCCGCCTTGCGTCTTCATTTGCTGCATCATGCATTCCACCGGCAGGTCGGAGAACCCTGCCACGGACCCAAGCTGGCACTCCTGGTCATACAGCCGGCATACACAGGTATGCAGGTTGACCGTGAACATGTAGCCCGGCACCTCCAACTCCTCCAGCCTGGTCGTGTAAGCTCTGAGCTTGCATGCAGCCGCCTTGGCTGCCACCAGGAACTGCTCACGGGTCTCGTCAGGGGGCCACGGCCAGAAGTAGTGCATGACCGTGCTGCACAGGCTCCAACACAGGGCCCACAAGGCCTCGGGCAGCACGTCCCCCTTGAAGATGTAGCTGGAGAACGTCTCAACGAAGTGCAGCCAGTCCTCCATGCGGTAGCTCTTGCTGCATGGGTGGAGGGGGGCAGTGTGGCGAGCAACCGTGTAACTAGAAGAAGTACATTACATAGAGTAGCAAACTCTCTGACAGATGAAGGTGTTTTTTCAGGCAAGCCCCTGGTCGTATTTGCTTTCTCGGCTATTAGCGACCCCCGTGTGTGGCCGGCTGCCCAGTGCTGGCTGTGCTCACCGGTACTGCATGATGCATTTGTACCGCCGCCCGAAGTCCGAAGTCACGACCAGGAACTGGCCGCGGGCCGTGACCCGCTGGTGTGCTTCACGAGACATGACCAGCTTGGCATCTGGGTCTGCTGGCTTGATGTCTTTGAGTGACCTCAGCGTGTAGTCCACAAAGTCGCTGACCACTCCAAACAGCAGGGCATGGCCGGTGGAGACGGTGAAGAGGCACGACAGGTCGATGTACGGCAGGGCCGCAAAGGCAGTCAGGCCCTTGCACCCAGTCTGGAGCGCCGCCTCATCGAACTGCTTCTGCGTGATCTTGTGTGGAGTCCCAAGGTGGAGCATCCTGTACATCGCCTGCATGACACTGCCCGTGCTGACGAAATGCTGATGGGTCTTCTTGAGAGCCCGGGCGTCGACCTTCAGGCTCTTGCCTGCATTCCGCTTTACGAAGTGCTGGCTGACTGCTTGGGTGTAGCCACGGAAGCGCACGGTGGCCCCGCGCCCAACATTGGCCTCCATGTGTGCCTCGAATAGGCACCATGTGCAGCTGCCGACACGACTGTTCTGGTCTCGTAGCTGCTGGTGGACCGGTTCTGTCGGTGGGAACGGCTGGAATAAAAGCCTGCCGCGGTCCAGGTGTTGGACGGGCGTTGGAAGATGACCCTTGTGAAGACGACCAGTGGGTGAGTCACCAGCCGACAGGGTGGAAATCCAGCGGTGTAGGACTAGCACCAGCCTGGGAAGTGAGTGCCCGCAACGCTGGGGGCAGGGAGGCACTCCAGCTGCTACAGGAAGCCTGGCAGAGGTTGCAGCGGCTGGGGCAACAGGATGCGGTAGATCCGCGGGATGAACAGGAGTTTCTCGAAGAGGTCGTCTGTTTGCTCCCAGATCCTGAAGACTTCCAACCAGGAAGGATACGTCTACATGTTGCAGTGTGGTGAGTGTTCTTTCAGGCAGCTAATGAAGGCCGGCCCCTCACGGACAAACAGAAACGGTGGCTGGGATACCTGCAGGGCGGAATTCAGCTGGAGTGGGTGCCGTGCGACTACCCAGGGCAAGAACTAGCCCCCGAGCGGGGATGCAAGCTAGCTATAGTGCGGGAAATGCTGCGGGTCGCGGTGCCGGATTGCGACCTAGACTTTATCATGGCGGGTGACCGGCCGTGAGCCGTGCAGTTTCCTAACCATCGCAGCGCGACTCAGCACAGTGAGTTTGTTACAGCCGAATTGAGAAAGGCCCTTGACCGAGGGGTGATACGGAAATGGCCAGCAGACACGCCCCCCCCCCACGGTTATCAATGGCTTGCGGGTAGTGGAAAAAGACGGCAAGCTGCGCCTCTGTATTAATCCGATGTACATTAACTGTTTCTTGAAGTACCGGCCTGTGAAGTACGAACGACTGGCAGATGTACCTAGCTACCTCCTACCGGAAGATTGGCTGTACACCACGGACCACAAGAGCGGGTACTGGCAGCTATCACTCCACGAACGGGAGCACACATATCTGGCTATGCGGTGGCGGGGGCAGACACGTTTTTGGCCACACCTGCCGTTCAGCCTGGCGCCGGCCTGCCACTTGTACACAAGCATGAAGCTCGAGGTTTTCCAGCCTTTACGGCAGCTAGGGGTCCGCATGTCTTTCCTGATAGACGACCAGATGGGTGCCGCGGGGTCGAAGGCCGCGGCACAGTACGAGTGTGGGGCGGTGGTACGGCTGCTGGCAGCCCTAGGCTTCACCCTCAGCCTGTCCAAGTGCCAGCTGATCCCAAGAAGGCGAGTCTGTTTCTTGGGGATGGAGGTGGATGCGGAGGCGCAAGCATTCAGAGTACCAGACGACAAGCTAGCTAGATTCCGTACGCTGCTCACACAGCTCGAAGGCAAACGGCTAACAGCGCGGCAGGTGGCGCAGGCGGCCGGCAAAATCATCGCCATGACGCCCGCCGTCACCACGGCACCCCTGTATGCGTGGATGGTGTGGCGTGTAGCCCGGGGCGTGGTGTGGGACAAAGAGGTTTGGGACCCGGCGGAGGTGCTACACCAGGCAGGCTTGTTTATGGAGCTGCTGGGCAGGCGCAACGGGACAGCCACCTGGCGGAAAGGACCAGCCCTACGACTGACGATGGAACTAGTCGGGGACGCCTCAGACAGGGCCTTCACAGCCTTCTTACCTGGAGAATAACTGGGTGCCAACAGCCGCATGCTTGTGCCCTTCAAGCTCAGGAAACCCAGCGGCTGCAGCGGAATGACTTTAGCAGCACAGAAAGAGAACTGCGGGTGCTGCTGTACAGCTTGCACTGGTTGCGAGAGCAGGCACCGAACCTGTTGTACGGCCGGACAGTGCAATACCAGACGGACAGCCAACCGGCGGAATTCTGCATGGTTGGGATGAAAGGCAACACCGCTTGCCTGCCCATAGTGGCGGAGATCCATCGCCTCTGTGTGGATACAGACACAGACATTTCAGTGGTGTGGTACCCACGCAGCCGGGAACAGCAGCAGCAGGCAGACGCGCTCAGCAAATACGAAGATGGATCACAGTGGCGAAGTATAAGCACTGGATGGGGCTGCCCTTTTCGGGAGCCGCAGCCGTCATGTGGCCAACACATGCTAAGGTTTTCATTCCTTGTTTAGCATATAGTAAGGTAATGCAGTTTCGTTTATGTTGCTGGGCTTTGGAGGCAAACAGAGCATGAAGGGGCAAGTACCACGTCCCCAGGGGGCAGCGGTTTTGCCACTGTTGTGGTACTAATAGCCGAATTGAGGATGTGAACCCGGGTTCACATTCCAATAACAGGGGCCCCTGTTATTGGAATGCCCAGCCTATAATGATATTCGTGCTGAAGAAGGATTCGATCATCAACAGAGCATGTTTGAGGCCATGCAATGGGAACCCGCACGTCTGGCGAGGAAATTGGAACGTATGTGGGCTCACCGAAACTCAATTACCCCCTTTAGACGCTAGTCTGGGCTGATGTGCGGTGTTTTCCTTTCCTCCGTGGCTTTTAGGCATTGTAGTATTACCCTTGGGCCCTCCGCTCGTATGGGTAATCTTACAGGTATGGGGTCACACACCCCCAACCATGTAACACACACACACACATAACACGTCTTCGTCGCAATTAAGCCTGTGAAATTTTACGGGTGCTGTGCATTACGGCTTGGGGAATTACGGGTCAAGACCTTGTGATTACGGGTAATGTAAACTCTAGATGACTTCCAGCACGGGCAACCAAGAAAATGTCACCTATGTTCTTCCTTATAAAAGGAATGCTTTGGCAACTTAAAAATAAGCATGTTTACAAATTTTCTTGGCCGGTAATTACATGTGAAGACCACGTGATTACGGGTAAACATGAATTTACGGGTGAAAACCTTTCCCAGAGTGTGGATGACAGCCTGGAGGAGATGGACAAGTACAAGTCGGCAGGCGGCCACGTGTCCTACCTCAACAATCTGGCTGACAAGACGATTGGCTGCTATCTGGTGGGCGGCTCCAAAGACAAGCCGAGCACGCCATCAGTGCTTGGGGCGGGCTTGGTGCTCAGTGACATGGCAAGTATATATTATGGCAGATTGCTGTACACTCTGTGTTCTAACTTGCAACATATAATTTGGCCATTTCTGCAACTGATTACTCAGTTGGATCCGGTTTTACTAATTCTTTGGTGGTGCAGGCATCGGTTTCCATTGAGGACACCATTGAGATCCTGGTCATTGGCAAGATGAAGGGGCTGCACCACCGTGCAAAATTTACCCTGCCTGAGCCTACCAAGACACTCGCCATCAAGGACTACCCCTTGACCATGTTTGATAAAGTAAGGAACGACAGGACATTAATTAACCACCAGCAGTTCCTGTATCCTGACAAGCTTTCATTACTTCCTATATATGCAGGTAACCTGGCCTGTTCTGGGCATCCTGGCTATCGACAAGGGCAGACATGCTGTGCCCTGGGCGTGTGATACCCTGGGCGTCAATGCAAAGCAGATATCATCAGCCTTGAAGGGGAACAACATTAAGGGTTAGACGTAGTTGTGACTTCTGGGGCATGGAAACAAGTACAGAGGGATGGTCGGTATAATTGAGGGCCTGCTACATACTGCTAACTAGCATCATGATTAATGTTTGACCTATGTGTCGGGATGGAGTTGGCATGCATGCCTGCTCCTTCTGCACATGCGTATGCATGCTACAACATGTACATATCTCGAGCCATGGTATTGAATGGCTGTTGTGTGATGGGTGTTGTTGCTTGACCCACTAGGATGGATGGTTGCCCATTGCAAATGGCTGCAAAGCCTTGAATTCATGCTGCTGTAAGGCAGCCAGTTTGATTGGTGTAGTAGACCATACGTAATTGTTAAACCCTCTATGCATCATGGGCTTATGAAAGGCTGTGCTAAGTAGCCACTGTGTACACATGTGTTCATAACATGGTATGAATATCCTTATGGCTGTTATGCATTGTTCATCAAGTTCCTGTACATGTAGTACTACTAGTGCTGGTGTGTCGTACATATACATATATACATAGGTCATGAACTTAGCAGGCAGCATTGGTAACACATGTGTGTATACACTGATGCTTCCGGAGGTTCCAGGATTGCCACCAGTCAAGGTAAAACGTTTTACCGATGGTGGAAGGTAAGAGTGCCGCTATTTGATGAACAGTAACGGCCTGGGATAATGTTGACATGAGAGCTGACCAGGAATGGGCTCCAGCCGCCATTAAGTTTGCAGATGTACATGTCGTTGGATGACGGTGGTGGGAGCACTCCTGAGATGTACCCGAGTGATTCACTGAGAAGACGGCTAGGGTGACTGGATGAGGGTGCCCTGAAATACCTGGGTAGACAGAGTTTCACCTGGTAGCGACCACCGGTGTAGATATGCCCGCCTGTCCCACACATAATGTATAAGGGGTTGTGTTACAAATGTGGAAACGGTTGATACCCACAACTGAGATTTTATACATGTCATTCCAAATGTAACGATTGATTATATATCATGCTGTTCGTTAAATGATGTCATTCCATGCTACATGGCAATATAATTTTCCGATGACAATCTGGATGCACCTATTTATTAAAGAATCAATAATTTGGCCTAAGAATGTAAAAGAACACCCCTAAGAATGTAAGAGAATACAGAAGGCTGCTGGCCCTAAAGAATGCTAAAGAATGGTAAAATAGTGGTTTTATTTCATAAGAATGAGACTTAAGAATGGGTGCCATACTTAGCAAACCCTATGGTAAGAATGGTTAAAACCCGCCAAAGAGCAGCTAAGTATGCTTTAGGCAAAGAATCAATAAGTTGTCCTAAGAATGTATAAGAACACCCAAAGAACGAAAAGAATACATAAGACTGCTGACCCTAAAGAATGGTAAAGAATCGTAGAGAATGGTAAAGAGTGGTTTTATTTCTTAAGAATGAGACTTAAGAATGGGTGCCATACTTAGCAAACCTATGGTAAGAATGGTTAAAACCGGCCAGAGAGCAGCTAAGTATGCTTTAGAGAAAGAATCACTAAGTACGTATAAGAACACCCCAAAGAATGGAAGAGAATACATAAGACTGCTGGGACCTGAAGAATGCTAAAGAATTTGAAAGAACGGTTTTAAGATAAACGGAGGTCATACGAACGTTCTTAGAACGTTCTTAGAACGATGTAAGAACGTTCTACTGATTATTCGATTTTATCAGTTTGGCTGGGCTAAGAACGACTTAAGAACGTTCTTAACCCCTCTCCGCGTTCGTAGGGAGGGACATCCAAGGGACACCCAAGGGACACCCAAGAGACACTCAAGGGACACTCAAAGGACACTCAAGAGACACCCAAGAGACACCCATGGGACACTCAAGGGACACTCAAGAGACACCCAAGGGACACTCAAGAGACACCCATGGGACACTCAAGGGACATGGTGGGATACCATAAGGGATGAGCTTCCTCCCCTTTGGGGAGAACCTTCGGTGTCAAAGGGGTGGCACCAGAGGGTACCTTCCTGTACCACCTTGCCACCGGAGGATACCCTCCTGTACCACCTTGCCACCGGAGGATACCCTCCTGTACCACCTTGCCACCGGAGGATACCTCCTGTACCACCCTGCCACCGGAGGATACCCTCCTGTATCACCTTGCCACCGGAGGATACCCTCCTGTACCACCTTGCCACCGGAGGATACCCTCCTGTACCACCTTGCCACCGGAGGATACCCTCCTGTACCACCCTGCCACCGGAGGATACCCTCCTGTACCACCCTGCCACCGGAGGATACCCTCCTGTACCACCCTGCCACCGGAGGATACCCTCCTGTACCGCCTTGCCACCGGAGGATGCCCTCCTGTACCGCCTTGCCACCGGAGGATACCCTCCTGTACCGCCTTGCCACCGGAGGATACCCTCCTGTACCGCCTTGCCACCGGAGGGTATCCTCCTGTACCACCCTGCCACCAGAGGATACCCTCCTGTACCACCCTGCCACCGGAGGATACCCTCCTGTACCACCCTGCCACCGGAGGATACCCGCCTGTATCACCTTGCCACCGGAGGATACCTGCCTGTATCACCTTGCCACCGGAGGATACCCTCCTGTACCACCCTGCCACCGGAGGATACCCTCCTGTAACACCCTGCCACCGGAGGATACCTGTAGCAGCTGACCGCTGAAAAGGTCTCTCGAGTTGCTGGCGGTCGCGCTATGCGCGTATTTATAGCACCGTACTGTGTACCGGCTGCTACATTCCCCCCCCTTTGAAGGGAACCGTCCCGGGCCCTTAGAGCCTCGTATACCGCCAGCCTGTGCCTACCTTCGCCTACCCTCGGGCAGTGGGGTGGCCAAGCCCACGTCGCGTCATGCCGCCCTTCATGCGCCTAGCCTTCAGGTTTTTCAGGCACAGAGACAATCCAGTCGGTTCGGCTACTTTTATAGTTTTTGTGCGATATTCGCTCACTGAGTCGCCACACCCGAAATACCACTCGAACGTGATCGATGGGGGCTGAACCGACGACTTCAGGATCGTGAATTTTCACGAGGTCTCGATACCAAATGTAGCAGCTGACCGCTGAAAAGGTCTCTCGAGTTGCTGGCGGTCGCGCTATGCGCGTATTTATAGCACCGTACTGTGTACCGGCTGCTACAATACCCTCCTGTAACACTCTGCCACCAGAGGGTACCCTCCTGTACCACCCTGCCACCGGAGGATACCCTCCTGTACCACCCTGCCACCGGAGGGTACCCACCTGTACCACCTTGCCACCAGAGGTTACCCTCCTGTACCACCCTGCCACCGGAGGATACACCGACAGTATCCTAGCATGGCAGGAACGTAGTAGGGAATCTCCGGCAGGTAGGCCGAGATGTAAGCTACCCGGACGGGGTGCTACGGCCAGGCACTTAAGTATCACGACTACTTGGTGTTCAGAGTTCAAGACTCTGCCACCGCCGTCTCAGATTGTTTCGTACGGGTCTATGTATGCTAGTGCTTGTCGCTGGGTTGGACTTCTTCCTGCCTCAGTGAGGACTCTAAATTCCACGCTTCCGCAAAGCCAGTCGTCCGCCCAGGTGAGCGACTGCTACAGTAGCCCCAAACTCCTCTGGTGGGGGCTTGTAGAAAACACATGAGCCTTCCGGGCTCTCCATGGCAATCAAGGATGCTTCCATTTTGATTCAGCTAAACATGGCAGTGGCCTCGGGGCACCTCTTGTTTTTCATGCAGCTGCAGCAGCCAGGGATGGTGTTGGGCAGTGGGCTGCAGCAGGTATGTGGCCATGTCAGGCTGCACGCCAGTTTTTTGTACAGGGGCCAGGGCTGATAGCTGAGTTGCTGAACAGGTGTTGAGTTGTTTGTCGTACACGCACATGTGTTAGTGTACGGCACTTGGCGCAGCTTACAGTATACGCACGTTTTAGCATAGCTGGAGAACTAAGTTTTTTGTGAAAATAACTAGCATCTTGTGTCTTTTCTTGAAGCATAGCTTTAGAGATAGAATTTCGCACAATAAGTTCGTAGTCCTGGATTCGAAATCAGCATAGTGCACGTATTCGATGCATTGTAAATATAAGATATCTGCGGATACCCTCAGACATGGGCGCCTATCTGTAAAGTACAGGTGAGAAAGCAAAGGTCGGAACATGCATCTGAATGGCTTTTTCATCACGAGCCACACCTGTGGAGGCCAATGGTGACAGCAACGGCAAAGGGCAACCAGGCAACGGCAGCCCCCGGGCTGCTGAATGCTCAGTTGCCAAACTTGCGGCAGCACAGCGCCTGCACTGCCAGTACGGTCACCTCGGTTACCGCGTGCTGAAGCAGCTGATCAGCAAGCAGCTGGTGCAGGGACCACAGGTCACTCCAGCGGCACCACGCCAGGTGGTGGAGGCCGTCTACAAGGCCTGTGTCACTGTGAAGGCCACCGCAACCGCCCACCCCAGCCGCAGCAACCGGCCGCAGCACGCACTGGAGGTCGTACACTCTGACCTGTGCGGGCCCATGCCGACCATGGGCCGAGGGGGTGCACACTACTTGCTGACGCTGCTGGATGGTGCCACCGGTCTGTCCGCTGTCCACACGCTGGCCAGCAAGAGCCAATGGGTGAAGTGCTGCAGGACATGGTGACACAGCTGGAGGCCCCCCACCCAAACCATGCATGGATGCACACGCTGCACAGCGACAACGGCGGTGAGTACGTCACCAAGCAACTGGAGCAGTGGCTGCGCCAGCATGGCACCGTGCACACCCACTCGGCACTGTACACCCCGGAGCAGAGCGACTAAACCACACACTCTTCGTGTGCGGGCAATGCTGCATGATGCAGCACTCCCGATCAGCTACTGGCTGGAGGCTGCACTCTACACCAACCTCCTGCGAAATGTGGCCCCCTCTCAGGGCCGGGAGGCCACACCGTGGGCAGCTTATCACGGCATCCCCCCCGACATCAACCACTTCCACACCTTCGGCTGCCTGGCCTACATCCGCATCCCAGCCAGCCAGCAGGACAAACTCGGTCCTTGTGCAAAGGCGGGAACCTACTGCTGACAGGAGCACGGCATGGCCACCCACCGCGTCCTCGTCGAGGGCAAGGTGACCATGAGCAGTGACGTCACCTTCGATGACGACCGCCACGGCCCGGTTCACAACAGGCGGGCACCCCCTTCGGCACTAGCCCCGCCTGCCCCGGCGGCAGGGACACTATCGTCGGCTCTACACCGCCCGCCATGCTGCCGACCCCAGCAGCTACCCCGCCCCCAGTGACTTCAACAACACCCCTTCCATCGCAGCACCCGCAGTCAATGGCAGTCCCTGCACATGCCGCAGCCCCGGTCAGTGACGGCCTGCCACCCCGACAGCAACAGCAGCAGCGGCGGTGAAGAGTCGGGAAGTCCACCGCTGCTCGGTTGGTAGTGCTGACAGCACTAAGTCTAACATGCCCGACGGCAGTGGCGGTGGCGGAGGCAACAGCGTGGTGCACACTGCCAACGACATGCTGGTGACGGCGGACAACCTGCAACCTGCCCAGTTTAAATGGGGGGGACTAACGGCTCACCTCGACTGTAATCACAAATTTAGATGCTTAATTCTCCATACTGACATTCTCCTTACACTTCGTCAATTGCTTATACTTTATTGTTGCAACAACTAGCAATGTGTGGCCAATTTGCACCGTACGACCAATGCAAGAAAACAAACCGTTTCAATCATTGGAAAAGGCACACAGCCCACATGCTTGCTAATGCCAGCCAATAAAAACTTTCACCTAAAGCTTTCCAAGAACAAGGGGCATGAGAGAGGGGAAAGTGCGGGGAAGTGGGGCGGCAGCCCCACGACCCCGCACATCCCCCCCAAGACCACCTGGCCACCCACAGGCAATCATGATAGGGATGAGAGGGAGCCAAAGGAAACATTTAAAGCATGATACTAAACATATCTGATCTGGTCTGGGTTGACACTACTGCAATTAGCGGTTTAAGGTCCTGGGTTCGATTCCTGGAGTGACCCCTGAATTAGTCGGGAGCGCGACATTATGGCTAGCTGCTGAGATGTGGAGTTGAGGTCATAATTGATGGACCAGATTCGCACGCTGGATTGGGGGCGATTGCCGAACCCTCCGTCTCTTCGGGTGTTTGAGTGAATGGATGAGGAGGGGTCCCTGAAGGCTGGTTCGTTTGGCGAAGTACAGTGTGGTAGTGGTGGATGGTGCTATAAGGTGATACATGATCGTAGAACTGACAATGTGATAAAGCGGCCCAGAAGCCTCCCACTCTGTAACATTTCACAAACATTACACACCAACATATCGCTTACAACAAAATATACTAATTAACGTCAGGATTCTTCAAGAAGCAGCACCCCATGAAGGCGGATTTACTGGGTGCATGGCACATTTAAATGCGGTCTCATTGCACTCTGGGAACCAGGAACCTTCATTCACGATTCGATTCACATTCATTTCATCCCTTCATTTAATCCATTCATTTCAGGGCCAAGATTCATTTTGGAATGAAGACCACTTCATTACAAATGAAGGTAGCTCAGAATGAACGCCCCCTACGGTTTGAATGCCCCTTCAGTCCAAAACGAACGAGTCTCCATAAAACGAGCCCATGTCCATCATGTGATATGAAGGCTCCTTCAGTCCAAAACGAAGGAGTCTCCATAAAAAGAACCGTGTGCATCACGTGATCTGAAGGCCCCTTCAGTCCAAAATGAAGCAGTCTCCATGAAATGAAACATGTACATCACGTGATCTGAAGGCCCCTTTCAGCCCAAAATGAAGCCGGTTCCATAAAATGAAACATGTATACCACATGATATGAATGCCCCTTTCAGCCCAAAATTAAGCCTTTTCATAATATATACCCCTGTCCATCGCGTCATATGGACGCGCCTCCAATCCTAACCAGGAAGGCGTGTTCTTATCACGTGATGGGCAGTGTCTTGATACGGATTTGCTTATAAGCCAAGCCGTCTCAAGACCCTGTCCACCATGTGATACAAACGTGCCTTCAGCCCTAAGCAAAGCCATTTCTACAAAAGAAGACCATGCATATGCAGCTGTCCATCACATTACATATGCGTTCGTCCCAAAGTCAACGTGCATCCATTACCGCCGTCGTTTCTTGCCCCCCTTCCCCTTCGCCTTTATTTCCATGAAGGGGAGATCCGCTTCAGTCAAGACGGCATCAGGCAGAGAACGTCTGCACTTTGAGGCGGCCTTTGCTGCCATCATGGCTGTTGCAGTCTCCACCACCCACATCTGAGACCCAGGGCTGCAACATCCACTCTGGCCTGATGTCCTGCAGTGGTGGCTCCTGTAGTTGCATCAGCAGGGACACCCAGACCTGCTGAATGCCTGCTTCACCATGTCCAAGGGGTGCCTGAGTGCAGCCGCAGAGGGACATGTGTCAGTCAATTAGTTATAGACAAATAGGCTAAGTGGAGTAAATTTGCTATACTGAAGCACACAATTAACATGATGTCGCAAAACCATGCAATTCTTGATGACCACCCAACCAGCAAATTAGTAATCCTGACATGAAAACCAACACAAAAATGGACAGGAGCTCACTTTCCAATCCGGTGCTAGGTGATCTGGTCCAGTGCTGGACATCCATGACCCCGCTCGACCCCGCCGACCAAAACTACACGTGCCCAACTGAAGACATTCCCGGTGGTTGTGCAGCAGCTCTTGAGGCTGTTGCTGGCTGAAATCCATCCTGAGCTGTTGCAACACGGCTAAGGCGGGCACGTCTCTATGCACAGCAAATAGCTGTTCCAAGCCAACAGCGGCGTCCATGTCACCGACAAGGCTCTAAATGTCTTATCTGTTCTTATGTTTAATTAAGTTTATGTATGTTATACTTTGCGCAACTTTGTAATTTGACTTTAGTCGGGACAAGGTGCTGAATGCGCTGCGCTGCAGAAAGCAGGCGCCTTTTGGCTTGCACACAACTGCCTCTTCGCCAGACGCTTCCTCTTCCCGCGGCAGTTTCACGAGCCCAGTGTTGCAAGCTACGACGTAGGCTTTCGGTGCTTTCAGTTACTGCAAAGCAGCCACGCAATAGACTAGGCTGCATGCCGCGTGCGACTATGGCCATCGTTCCCACCTGCGCAACGTGCTGGCGCACCTCGTTTGCTTGCGCAAACTGCCGCTTCACCAAACGCTTCCTCTTCCCGCGGCCGTTTCAAGCGCCCAGTCTTGCAAGCTACGTTGTATGCTTTCATATCTTTTCATATCTTATTCGGCTCAGGCTAAGCAGCCAGCCAAAAGTCCGAGATGCATGCCGCTTGTGACTGCGGCCAACATGCCCTGATGAGCGGCCTTTCGCCGAAAAATTACATACACTTTTACAGGCGCATTTTGAGAATTGAACGCGCGCATCCGCACGATAAATTTCGCGCCTGGCTTTTGGGGCGTCATGTACGGACCTTCGCGAAGTACGACCGGACACATTTGTGCGAGAGGCTGCTTAAATAGGGGGGTCCTTGTGAAGCAGCTGCCCGCGTTTCTAAAGCACGTATGGTGTTGGATTGTAAGGTGCCCAAGTACGTTTGCGAGGAAGAGAATGTGGCCAGGCTGGAGAGGAAAGTGCAGTGGCATATTGGAATGTGAGATTAGCGTAAGCGAGTTACAGGGCGTTTTATTGCACGGGCGAATTTACGTGCAAATCTTTCACCGTAGCATCAGTCCTCAGTTCATTTCTTGGAACGAACATCAGCATAGGTGCAAGCCCTCTCGCTTGGAGGGATATGCAAACAAACACCCTGATAGGGGTAAACTCGCACGCTACCGAGCATTCAACCGAGCACATGCATGCTTAGTTGAATGGTGAGATGCGACCCCCCCTTCATTTCGCTGCACCTTTGCATTGCGTACGTTGCCCAACTGAAGACATTCCCGGTGGTTGTGCAGCAGCTCTTGAGGCTGTTGCTGGCTGAAATCCATCCTGAGCTGTTGCAACACGGCTAACGCGGGCACGTCCCTATGCACAGCAAATAGCTGTTCCAAGCCAACAGCGGCGTCCATGTCACCGACAAGGCTCTAAACGTCTTATCTGTTCTTATGTTTAATTAAGTTTATGTATGTTATACTTTGCGCAACTTTGTAATTTGACTTTACTCTGAACAAGGTGCTGCATACAACTGCCTCTTCGCCAGCGCTTCATCTTCCGCGGCAGTTTCACGAGCCCAGAGTTGCAAGCTACGACGTTGGCTTTCGGTGCTTTTGTTACTGCAAAGCAGCCACGCAATAGTCCGGCCTGCATTCCGCGTGCGGCTGTTTCTAACATGCCCACCTGCACAACGCGCTGGCGCACCTCGGCCTTTTCGCCAAAAAAATATATACACTTGTACACGCGCAATTTGTGAATCGCACGCGCGCACCCGCGCGGTGAAATTCGCTCCTGGCTTTTGGGGCGTGATGTACGGACCTTTTATTCGCGAAGTACGACCGGACACATTTGTGCGAGGGGCTGCTTAATGACAACTGCAGCGCTACTGTAAGAGATGTGATATCCTTGGACATCCTGCATGCAGCCAGCTTTAATGGCCAAAGCATTCAATGCTGTGTAAAGCACTACATCAACTAGCAGTGTACAGGACTGATTCCTACACGGAGTTCAAATTTCTTCCTCTCCTGCTCCCTCATGAACGATCATTGCCTACCTTCCTGGGTGGACTACCATAATGTGTACCGAGGCCTCCTTTTTTGGCAGTGCGCTACATTAGCCTATTTCGGGGTCCTTTTGTGATGGCAGCATCCACAGCATATCCAGCACCCGGCCACAAGGCCCGAAACCTCCTGCTTAGGAAATATGACCCAACCTAGGAAAGCCTAAGTATTCTCCCTCCAATTGCATAGGGCGTGCTTGACCTTCGCCTAATCCAGGGTCTTTATATGGAAACATCTATGGCAAATACAGCAGCTACGGGGTATGCCACCTCCATCGCTATAGGTAGTGCTCCAGCCCCGATTCGAACCTCAATCGCCAAAAAATCCTTGATTACATACTGCTATAAAATACACGCTTAGTATCTTCCCATGACACTTGATGAGAATATATAAACACCTATGAACCTACTGCCGTACTTCTACTGCAGGCCCCATTACGGCCCCTGTCGGGCCCATTACACCCGGTCCTGCACCTATAACAGGCCCCCAGTTATGGCCCCCCATCAGGCCCCTTACGGGGCCACCCATTATAGGCCCCGTTACGGCGTCAAATTGTACAGGCCCATTAGTGGCTCAAGCCATAACGGGCCCTCCAGCGATTAGTACGGGGGTAGCTGCCTACAGGGCTGTCTATGGGCGAAAATGCTCCCATTGGGCTGTAACCAGCCCCGGTTACTGCCCAGTCACGATCAACCTGGTAACCCAATCGTAACCACCCCCATTAACGACCCCCAGTAACCATCCACCTGGTAACCAATCTCCGCATACCCCGTTAACGGCCACAATTGCCCGTAACCGGGCAAGTCTATGTGGTAGGGAGTGATCAACGTAGCAATAAAAGAATAACTAACGTAGCCCAACAACGGAGGATAAGGAGCGCATCCATGTCCCCAATAATCACTTCTCAATGAGCCGCCAGCATAACATAAACATCTGCCAAAATTGCGCGTCACTCATTAGCAAACAGCAAAATGGCAAGGAAACATTCATTAGAGACCGCAGATGCTATGCAAGTGCAGATGCAGAAGCGTATGCAGATGCAGCTTAGATGCAGCAGGTTCATCAGAAACAGTGGCTGCCTTACTCCGCAGGGTCATAAACCTGTACAGTTTCTGACTTCTCCACACAAAACTGCGAAGTGACAGCTCTCCGCAGTGAACTGCGCGAACAGTAGCGGTATATGCACATGCACGCTCTCAGGCTGCAGCAATTAACCATCACATACTCACTCCACACACACTCGACACACCAAACCAGGAGGCGATCCCGGCCTGCTTCCCTCTCTCACATTTTAATGCCCAGCCCCGTGCTAAAGCCCTACTAGGGCTGAGGCCAAACAAACACACAACCCGTTCATAACGAAGAAAGGGGAATGTCACGTGCAATGGTGCCGAGGATTGACATACACTCATGACCAGCTATCGCTGTCGCTTTCACCATAGCTAACAACTGCTCCCAAGCCATGTCTGTTTAGTCATTGGTAGCACAACCCCAACACCGCCCTCGACGCCAGGTCACAACCACCTCACCTTCCCATAGAATTCCCTTGCCTTATTACTTTTGCCACGAACGCAGCATGTGTGCTCCTGTGACAACAGACGTTTCTACACACACGCGAGCATACCGTCAAGCAAAGTCCTCCACTGCCGCAATTACGACAACATAGTTTGCTTGCAGGGCAGCAACAGCGTTTTGCTACATTGGTGATGATGACGTTTTCTTCCACGCACAGCGAGGCAACGCATCAAAATGGGCAGGTGGGAAATGTGCTGCAACTTCAACCACAGACTCCATCACACAGTGGAGCCGATGCATATATAAAAGTATGGAACATACACAAGGAATCAAGCGATCCCTCAAGCGCCCAATTATACCCTCAGGCTCCCTTAATGGAGACACGTGGGTCCGTGTGTTACTCCAGGTACACGTACGCACACACGGGCCAGGAAAACACATCGCAAATGCTCTTCAGTTTCACTATAGCCCCAAGAGCACGCCAAGTGCCAGCGGCAAAGGGCCCGGGAAAAAGTGGAAATACGAAGCAGCAGGGAGAGAACAAACCAAAAGGACGGGACGAGGGCATCGTAGCTGCCACTGGCCTGGCAGGCAGGGGCATTACGCTGAACGTTCATAATGAATGCACTGCTGGAGGTTGCCGTTCAGAAAAAGATGGCTCTGCCATCGATCACTCACTTGATTAGGTTCCCACATATGGGGGATATGGCGCTCTCCATACCCCGCATTCTTTCTCAAAAATGGAGTCTCATCGCTCGGGAAACAAATTGGGAAATGGATCCGGGGCCAAACCTGGCACATTGACATGAAGGGACCGGGACAAGCCGGGACAAGGTAACGAGACAAGTAACAATTGGAGTTGCAAATCCAATAGTACTGCAAAAATATCTGCCCGATAAGCTAGAACAAAGGACAATTTAGAGAGAGCAAGTTAAAACATTACAATAATTGAAAATTAGGAGGAAAAGCAATAAGCGAGGTAGTAGACAGAAGATTTTTACCAAATTTATTGTACAGTTCTGCACAAATTGCCCCAGGACTGAAAATAACAAGGGACGACTAAAAACATGGAAGCACAAATCTCCTATCCGTCAGCTCCCTCTTTTCGTGACGATCCCGCGTAGCTTAGCGACAATCCTCTTCTAGATGCAATTTGTACATGCCTTTCATGATTGCACGTATGGTTTATGGGGATGCACAACTTAAGTCCCAAAGTTAAGCACCAAGAACATGCATATGCACTGACACATGTAGCTAGACCAGGGACCAATGTATGCCGTGCATGTACAGGTGAAAGCGGCACTCTGGGAAAAGGGGGGTCATTTTACCCGTAATTTTGGGTCAATCCACCCATAATTTGACAGAAATTACGGGTCCGTAACACGTTACGGGTCCCGTAATTTGAGCACAAGGATACAGGTGAACATTTACGGGTGAAGACCCAGTGATTACGGGTGGATTTTACGCGGTGCTGGAGGTTAATTACGGGCGCATGTAACCAATTACACGCAAAATTACGGGTGAAGACCCAGTGATTACGGGTGGATTTTACGCGGTGCTGGAGGTGAATTACGGGCGCATGTAACCAATTACACGCAAACTTACGGGTGAAGACCCAGTGATTACGGGTGGATTTTACGCGGTGCTGGAGGTGAATTACGGGCGCATGTAACCAATTACACGCAAAATTACGGGTGAAGACCCAGTGATTACGGGTGGATTTTACGCGGTGCTGGAGGTGAATTACGGGCGCATGTAACCAATTACACGCAAACTTACGGGTGAAGACCCAGTGATTACGGGTGAATATTACGCGGTGCTGCAGGTGAATTACGGGCGCATGTAACCAATTACACGCAAAATTATGGGTGAAGACCCAGTGATTACGGGTGAATATTACACGGTGCTGCAGGTAAATTACGGGGCATGTAACCAATCACACGTACAGTTACGGGTGAAGACCCTGTTATCACGGGTTACACAGGCAGATATTACTCTGCGATGTGACGCTTACTGCATGTTAAATTAACGATTGGTGAATACTTGCGGCAAGCCTCAAAATGGACGCACACCCCTTGTCAAAGTAGCCTAAGTCTCAGTGTGCTTGTGGACCAAGGCGCTTTGGACTCACAACGCCAACCAGCCAGCCTGACAGCCTGATGCATTCATCTCAACCATCGTCCTCGAAAACAGCGTTCATGTCACCCCCCATACAGCAAGTGCTCGCCAAGGAGTCTCACCACCACTTGCAGAGTTCGTGCCTACTCCTACGGATGAAACCCCCGATGCATGACATGTACCGGCACCTATTGGGATTGGTCTGTCCCATCCTGCCTGGGGCCGACCTGGTGTGTGCACCCCCAAGCGCTCATCACTGCTGTCATGTTACTGCTCACTTCCACCACTGTCGCTGCTGCCACTGCCACTGCTGCTGCTGCTAGCTTCGCTATATTTGCCTGGGTCCTCCGAGCTGGACTCCTCCCCAGCGCCAGCGGCTAGGACCTCTTCCTCACCAGCATCCGACCCACCCTCCGAGCTACCCTCCTCTGTCCGCCCCCTCCACCCTCCCTTGCCTGCGCCGCCCTTCCCCGCACCTCTGGTGGTCCCCTTGCTTGCACCCCTGCCCCAGCCTGCGCCCTTGTTCCCCTTCTGCCGTTTATTTCCAACCTTGCGCCCCGACCTCGCACCCAGGTCGTCGTCATCACCGCCACCCCGCCTGCGCTTGCCAGCTGCGCCCTTAGCTGCTCTTGGCACCTCGCCGACCCACTCCTTGAACGCATCGTAGTTGGTGGTATCCTCGTCCTGTGGTGGGGGGGGCAGCAACACCCAGTGCTTACGTTCAAGGTAAAATATCAGGGTAAGACCCAACAAGCTGCCCTGACATTGAAAGTTGACATAACCCATCAGCACCCCTCGACCTTGTTAAACATGCTCCCCAGGTTCCAAAAGGGTTACAAGGCAGCCCTGGTTGCAAGCAGTCTGGAAACGAGCAA